TTTTGAAAATGTTCCGGAAATACTGCGTCCTTTAAACATATATCAAATTAAAGCTTATTTTATGTACTATAAAATGAAAAAAAAAAATTTGTCCCGACACTTTATCTTCTGCATGTAAACGGCTGCCGTAGTTAAAAAAACGCTATTTCTTTAATATTGATTAAAAAATATAAAAATATTCTTTTTTTAGAAAAATAAAATATATAAAAAATATACAGAATTTTCAATACAACATGTTCATTCTTATAATGATGCTTAAATTTTAAAAAATAGTTGTTTTAAGTTGGTAGTAAATTCACAAATAGTAAATGAACAAAATTCAAATGTTTAAGCTATATCGACTTTTTGTGACACTTGAATAACCTAATTTTACATTTACTCAAAAACTGTTTTACTTTAGGCATTTTGATCTTATTCCTTTCTTGAATTCAGCCCAGATTTTACATCCCAAAATTGCTATCAGATGTTATTGGACAATTTTGATGTTTACAGTGTCATTAACTAAAAATAATTTAATAATATTAGTTAATAATTAATATTACTCTTACTCTGCAAATATCATTAAATTTAGATTCTATGACATCACTGCTAATTATACTTTGATTATTAATACTTTCAATAAACTCTTCAACAGTAATCTTTCTCGTGGAAACATTTGGAAAAATAACTGGATTATTTTCAGATATTTTTTTATACTTAGCAATTTCATCATGTATAGATTGCAAATCTAATTTGTTATCTGTATTATTATCCTAAGAAAAAATTGTGTTCTTATAAATTTAACATAATAAAATAATAATATACATATAATTAATGTAAATTACATCAAATATTTTTTCTATATTAGCTTACATTATCATTCTCATTTTGGACACTCAAGCAACTTGTAGGTTTTTTTAACATGTTTTGAACCTTTGATAAAATTACATCAAAATTAACATTACTTTCTTCCTTTTGTTCTTGATTTTTCAGCTTGGGCACCAATTCTGGAGGAAGAAGTGTTTTTTTTGCAATTGACTAAAAAATTACTTATAATGATTATAGGTCAATTAATAAAAGAAGCATCAAACACTTCACTCATATTTATATAATACCAATATCAATTAAACAGTTATAAAGAAAATACTACTATTACATTATTTACATTATCTCAAAATCTAGAAAGGATATCATTCAAATATAAAATATTATGAATATCATACATGATGTCACAATATGTTTTGACATCATAAAATTTATAAAATATCAAAAGATATTACATATCCTTTGATCCAATGGATTAATAACTTTTTGAAAAATGAATAAGTCAAAATAATTTTTTTTATATAAATACCTCAGGTATTTTATTTGTATTAAATTTTTTGAAAATTTGACCCTTTACCTGCCCACAAGAGAGAATTAATTATAGTACTTTTGCACAAAATATTAACTTATAAAAATTTCCTAGAAATTCTGTATCATATGTTAAATTATATGTATATATATATATATATCGCTCGACAAATAAAGGCGCTCATGACTGAGCTAGATGCAAAATAACTACACAATTTTAGTTTTTGAAATTAACCATATCTATGTATTTTATAAATTAATGGAAACTAGAAACAAATTTTTTCATACTTTGGTGAATATATAATTTCAAGTTTTGATCAAATATAGTCTAGCCTAAAAATTAACTTACTCGTAATGACTCTAATTTTTGATAGGTATGATTTATCATTGTGTCATAATCAGGCCATGGAGTTGAAACTAATACAGCAGACTTAAAAGCGGGTAAAATTCTTTTCCAACAATTGAGTTGTTGATTTATATTCATGTTACCCTAATAATAAATAATAAATTTATCATAATGTTATTTATTATTACAACAATTATAATAATTTTAGTATTTTTAAACTTTTTTATTTTTAAAAACTCATAAATTTATGTTATTATAACTGTAATAACTTCATCAGATAATACAAAATTGTAATAGTAAATTTAAATATAGGATAAACTTATAAATATTATTATAGAAAAAAAAATGTTTCTTTTAAAATACAACCTATTAGATTACAAAAAAAAAATAAAAATTTATAATATATAATAAATATTTTGTATTTTAACTGTTTAAATATTATAAATTTGAACCAATTAAAAGAATAAAAGAAAATTATAAAAAAATAATATATATAGAAGATTATTTTACACCTTTCACCACCCTATGTGAGCATTAATTTAGTGGACTAAAAATATGGTCATTTTGTTGACCAATAACTTGGTGAACAAAATATCTTGTTTTTTAATTGTTATCAATTAAAGTTGAAACAAAATGTAATAACTTTGTATTATTTATTTTATAAAATATATTAAACTACTGTCAAAAAAAACTATTTGAAATGCTCAAATATTATTAATTGTGATTTCACATTATTATCATAAAAAACTATTTAAAAAAACCTAATTTTAGAGATATTTTTAGTTTGCCAACATATTAACTTTTAAACTAAAAATTTTTAAACGCTTTTAAATAAAACATTGATAAACACACATTGAAAAAAAAAAATGTTTAATTTTCAATTATTTGAAAATAATTCAATAGGCTTGTAAAATTACTATTTATTCTTCCATACACTGCCTTTCATTATAACACATCAATGATACATTTTACGATTTTAATTAATAAATTACATTTTTTGTAATAATATGGTTATCAACATATGCTATGTATAGGTGCAACTTAGTGTGCTATTATTGTCCTAAATTGGTCCGTTTATAATACTAAGTCAATAGAAAAAACAGGTAAATACAAAGAAAAATTAACTATCACATTTAACTATATAAAATTATTCAGTCGATTATATAATATTTTTAAGAATAAACCTCTTGCAAGTCCGTTATATTAACCATAACATTTCTAATGTTAAGAAAGGGTGTGAGTTGGTCCAAATTTTTGATATCTCCAACTTAAATCTCTGCATATACCTATGGATATCAACTTGAAAGATAAAAGAAATATTTTATGACTACCGTATTAAAGGGCTTGAAATAATTAATGTAAAATGTATTAAATTAATAAATTATTTGTAGGTATAATTTTCAGCTTCGCCTCAAAGCTAAAATCAACTACAGTAAGTGTTTATACAAGACATTAAATTAAAATACTACAAAATTACCAACATTTTTATTAAATACTTACATTTAAAAAAAGTTTTGCAGTTTCATTATCCAACAATCCAAATTCTACAAATATTTTACATAAATCTTGAAAAAAAAAATTATTGTTAATAAGAACTAAATAAAATCATATTATTATAAAAAAATGTTACCATGTTCTGATTTTGTATCAGATTCAATATCAATATCTAATAAATGTTCATATACTAAGAATTTAATACACTCATCTCGACTAGGTCCATTTTGAAAAAACATTTCTTCCAGTGTTTTATCATCCATGTCACACATATCAATTCGAGTAAAATGCTTACGCACCAAATTTAAAAATTGTTCCATAATTTAACGACAATAAAATAGTAGTAGCAATAGTTTTCTATAAAATATTTATAACAAATCAAGATAATATATTATTTAAATTTTTTTACAAATATATCACCCCAAAAGGCCAGAGTTCTAACTAATTGTGGAATATTAAAAAATAATTATTCATTGACATCTTAAAAAAAATTTCAATTATATTAAAATTAAAAAAATAAATTATTTAATTTACAATACATTTTACGAATTTCTTAATGTTATTTAATTTCATTTATACTTTGATATTAAAAATAAAACTAATATAAAAATGTTTTATATAATAAATTGAACTCACATAAAAATTTATAACAACTAAAATTTAATAATATTAATTTGAAAATTTCAAGTTTTAAAAAGTGTAGTAATTAATAAATTAAAAAAACATTATTCAATTTAAGAATAACAAATCATCTAAGTACTTACAATCTCTTGTATTTAGAATATTAGCGGGTAAATAAGATAAAAACGGTTTTTATTATATGATAACATGAGATAAGGCTTTGAGCAGTGTAGAAACGCCATCAATTTTCTAACTTTGGAGTTAATCGTAAATAAATTTAATAATTCATTTCTATGATACAAACATTTACTTCTAAGGCAATTCTAGGAAAGGTAGTGAAAACTATCCCATACCCCCATGTGAAATTATCTAGTAATTTTATATAATTTTTCAATTTATGAGATTAAAAGTATAAATTATTAAAATGTAACAGAATTTGAAAACAATTATTTAGTCAGTAAACAATTTTTTCATTATACCATTCATATTTTTATCTTTAGGGCGGCTGATTAAAATTTCAATGTGACTCATGTACAAAATAGGTTCACTTAACAAATAACAAATTATTCTAAAATATAGATTAAAAACTCGCATTGTATGAAGAAACATTCGATTTCTGCAGAATCTCTGTTAAAAAGAAGATAATGTTATTTTAGAAATGGCAAAGTGACAGAAGGAAATAATACTTCATAATTAATCTTCCGCGCATTCTAAATATGCATTTAATAGTGGTAAAGTTTAAATTTATCCTTCGTTAAATTGTGTAAATCGACTAAAAACCTATTTAAAAAAAAGAAATTTTATTTTTCTGTGTTTTATTTAGTTATTTTTTAAGGGAACAACCAAATTCATTTGACTGACTGACTTTTTAATATTCGATTAGACCGTTTATATATGAAAAAAAAACTGTCGACCGACTACAATCATTGACTATTGATCTATTTATACTCGTTAGTACTAGTGAGTAACTAAGTATACCGTAAGAAGCTTTTATGCTAACTAGGATGTGTTACTATATAAGATTGATTTTGAAAAATACTGAATTCGTCATCTTACTCCCTATGTTAAAATAACCGGTTCGATATTGAGCTGGTTATTTTTCATATAACTATTTATAACTTTAATGGAATTTATACTGAAAATCATAAAAAAATAACGACATTTAAAATAAACTTTATAATATTTAACAACTATTTTTTTAACTATTAATTTTATTGTAACTAAATAATATGTTCATGATCACGATGACTGTTTACTCCTCCAAAAATACCTTGATGGCATTGTTGCTTGGAGAGTACATTAAGACTTAGTCTAAACTTCACTAAATGCAAACAGTTTACCTTTTTCTGCCTCTTTGATATTACTAATTTCAATTACACAATATCAAGTGTTCTTCTCTTATCCACTTCTTCTGTCTGTGATATTGGGTTCTGGTTTACTCCTTCTCTTTGTCCTAGGCAACATATCGAAATTATTTTCAGTGAAACACCTAGAACATTAGGCTTCTCGTATATATAGTGAATTTAAATTAAAAACGTCTATTCTTCACTAGTGCGTTCTATTTTGACGTATGGTAGTTTGCTGTGGAACCCAACAACTACGACGAATGTTATTTTATTGGAAAAAAATCAACCCATACTTTTTCGATCAGCCTCTTTTTTCCTGAATGTTCCACATACTTCACATGATTATTTCCCTATCCGTTCCCTTATACAGCTTGGCAGGTAGTCGTTTACATTTTAATTGATCTTTCATTACTAATCTTTTATAGGGCAAAATTGATTATCTTACCTTATTATCTAAAGTTCTTTTCCGTGTTACTATAAAAAATACCAGATCCTTTTGAAAAATACCAGAAAATCTTATCGGTTTTCTTTGCGTTAATCAATTTGTGAAATCCTCCCATCTTTTGATTAATATGAATGTCTAATGAAAACTCATCACTCTTTTTATAAACATCATTCATTTGTCATACATCTTGTAAATATTACATTTCTCTTTTAGTTTTTAACTAAGTTGTATATTATATATCCCATTAATTTGTTACATTAAATATAAAACTGTTTTATTTGAGCTTACACCTGTTTTACTTGATAAATAAATAAATAGAGCTGAATTTATAAAGTAATTTTTGAAAAATGTTTTTCCTACAATTTAACTATTACTAATAATTGTGAAACAAATTCGCCGTATAATTATTTTAGAATATCCAATATACCTCAACTTAGAATAATTTCTCAAGATACTAATAACAATATGATTGTTTTCATAATTGTAAATTATTGTTAGAGAAATTATAAATTATATGAAAAAATGTATGGCGTGTGACGAATGACTTATCCTTACTAGAAGGTTATGCGAAAATATCAAAATAATTCTTAATCACATTTTAATACGCTTGATATATATATATATATATTTTTTCCGTTACATCTATTAGTTCCATATTGTAACAAGCGCTTTCTTTTTAGCATTAAGCAAATCAATGGGAAACATTCGCTTATTTTTAATCGCAAGTACACTAATTTGACCTTGTAATACATAACTTCAATTACATTAAACAGGATAATCAAATGAAAATTTTTTATTATTAATGTAAACAAATATTTAGATTATTGTAATAATTCTTTTTAAAAATCCATTTTTTATATTAACCACTAAGATTTTTTTTCGTGGACAATTGATATAAGTCAAAATATTATTTGAGAAATAAATAGCAGGAAATACAGAGTGATTTATTTATAATTAATCACTAAATTTCTCCTAAAATAACAATTAATTTTGAAGAAAAAAAAATTTATTTTGTTTAGTGTTATTTATTTCTCGATTTATTAATGATTAAATATTTTGAAGTCTATGTATTATCCCTTAAGACATCAACTTGATTTTTTTAAATAGCAACATACATATTTAACTAGTTTATTTAATAGAAAATTATTCATCTACAAATATTACTGGTCGAAAACAACTTTTGAACCAGTATTTCGAAAGTTATACACATTTTTAATTGTAGACTGGAGGTAAAGTGCGGGTCATGTTGTTTTTATCCCTATTATTAGCCTTTAAAAAGGAAATATGTCCAATAAATATTTTTAGCCAATTTATCTCTTTTAAAATTATTAAATGACTTAATGTAATTAATTTAATATTGAATTTTTCATGTGGACATTTTTTTCATTATAAAATTCTATAAACTGTAATCATTTTTTTGTATTGTATTCAAATTTTATTATGGCTTCATTAAACAAATATATTAAAGAATACCTGAATGACCTTTTGGAACATAGTTTTGAATATTAATATTTTTTAACCAGAAATAAGTAAATAAAATTATAACCTTTCTCCTCTAAAAATACCTTTGCCTGTATTATTTTTCTCGCAAAGAAAAATAGAGACATAGCTGTCCTAAAAGTTGCTTAGACTAAAATGAATGGGGATAAGAAGCTTTAGATTTCTTTTTTTAAGCATAACATAAAATATATTATCTTATGATGACGGTGTCACTAAATCAGTAACGCGACAGTGCCTGAGACGTACTGTTACGAATTCGAGATTCGGTCCTGGGCTATTCCGTATGCTGAGCCTGAAATGAGTTTATTAATTGGAGTCATTATACGGCGACGGACTAACTATCAGTTCCATAGTATTTAAGGTTAAAAAACTTTCTTTTAGAAAGAGACCATAACGGTCTTTAGTAAACCGTAAAAGTAAAAAAAGAAGCATTTATGGTACAGAACCACATTTAAATTTTGAATTTAGGACCTCATAATGTCATAATCCAGGCTTGCGTAGCTACAACATAAAATTTAGGAAGTATACATTGTATAAAGAAAAAAAAGCATTTGAATTTGAGTTATATTTTTGAGGGGCTATAAGTACGATAGGTACATATGATAATAATGATAAATTTAAATGAAAGGTGCTATTATTTGAATTGAACTGTAATGAAAACAAAAGATAAATAATAATTGATTATTCAAAATGTGTCGGTGATTTTGGTGATTGTGTAACCGATCGCAATGGTAATGTCGCGATGGAACGGCTGATTAAAAGCAATTCTCTTCGTTGGCCACTACCACATCATGTATACCACCTCTCTCTAGAGCACCGGTAGAGATTCCAAAATGAACCGAAAATAGTATAAACACGTTTTTAGTCCATTCGTGGGAGCCATACTGAATAGTTTTATCAGCTCAATATGCGGACTTAAAGCTTCAAGTTTTTGCCGTGTCCTTCCAATTACTCAAACGTACGCACCGGAAATAAATTTCGCAGACGATATAAAAAATGAATATGATATTTTTGCGGTTGACCGTGTTGATTTTAGCGATACATTCTTCCAGTAACGTTTTCGACTCGGCAACCGCAACTGTCTTGTCTCCACTGCTCAAAAACTCTTCATTAGACACACCAACAACAACAGGTACATCAGCCAGCATAACCATTAGCCCAAATTCCTCAGAGAGATCGGTAGATTCAGGGGAAACGAGCGCGGCGGACGATGGAAATAACGAGGATGTAAACGAGAGTAGTTTAAAAGACTTGTACGAAGACTTAGAGGAAACGATAGTATTTGAGGATTCAGAACATGGCGGTCAAGATGAAGTGTCGGGAGCATTAGTTGGTCAAATACCAAACGAATTAATTGAGAATAATGCCGCCGTGATACCTTTAAGCGGGTCAGATGATAAAAAATCTTCAGAACATGATCGAGTTAGGAACACAACAGTTAGTACCAGAGACAGTGTAACTGCTGGTAGTAATCCTGTAGTGCAAAAGATAGTTAAGTTTCCAGAGTACGTCAAATCGTCGAGCTATCGCAAGGGATGGTCAGTTTCAAATGTAACACGACCTGAAGCACTTTTTCAGTTTTGGGAACCATACGAGTCCGTTACGACTTTAAATTTATCAGAAGACTGTGCCATACATATGGAACTGTTTCAAACTGCGCTAAGAACAGGCAAGATGTGGGCCTATAAAAGTAAGCGTTTATAATCATATTTAGATCAAAGTAACCTCTTATATTTAAGTTGGCTGGAAATATTTAAAACCTACTATTTTAAATAATTTCAAGTACATTTTTTATTCTACATAAAATAAATACAGAGAGTTCAATCAGTTTAATTTATAATTAAGCATTACCAATAAAAGGGTAGGAATATGAATTAAATTCTACACTTTTAAAAATTGGATAATTCTAAACTTGTTGAATACTCTATGTATATATATATTTTTTTGGTATACATTTTAAGAAGTTTTCTCATATTGTTAGAAATAAAGTAAGTGGGTTTAACATAATTTAAGTACGTAAGTGACTAGCCTTTATGATTTAATAAATGCTAATACAATTACATCAAAAAATTCTATAAAAGAGTACCCCTCATGATGTAATAACCAATGAAACTAAAACGTCATACATATCCTTATCTCAAAAGTATGACATATCTCAACTCCCGAGGCCTATTCTACTCTAAAATAAATAACGTAACATGTTATTTATATCGATTTTGTAAACATTATTTTTTTTTATCGATAAATAAATTTGAGCTTGTGTGTAGGCATATTTTTTGTTTAAATAAAATAAAATCTACGAGTATGTGTTATGCGTTTATAATGATAGCATTGTTCCCAAAATACATAATTGCAATTTTTTAGTCATTTTTGTAGCTTTTTGAGTTAAATATTTTTATTACTTTTTAGTTTTCAATTAGTATTTTTATTATCATTTTAAAACTACGAACTATAAAATTAATACAAATAGGAACTAAAAATGTCATCTTTAAGTTAAGCTTACAAAAAAATATTAAGGTAATTACTTTCTTAACATAGTTATGTTAGTTTAAGGATAATTATTTTATAAAAAAGTCTCGTAAGCGTTAGGCTCTTTTAATTTTTTTTTTTTTTTAGTAAAGATAAACTTTATTTTTTTGCTTTTCATCTCTTTACTTTTTTAAAGCGTGAATTTTAGGCAATTACATAGTTTTATTACTCTTCTCTGATCCTAACTCTTATATTACAATCATAAATATAAATTATAAAAATTAAATTTTACACCTTTAATAATTACTGATTAAATCATTAAAATGTTCTTTAGTTAGAATAAATCAATTTAACAAAGCTGTAATGGTTCATACATGTGTAAGTTAAATGAGTGCAATATGTATTTTTTATTTTATTCTATTGAGTGTACTCAATAGTAAATGAAAAAAGTAAACATTCCAATAAAAATAACTCTTAAGGAAATTTCGACCGAATTTCGTTTTCATAAAAGAAAACGTGCATTACCCTTTTCTTTAGAAAAACGCTTATTAACAATAGATAGCAATTGAATAGTAATTTTTACTTTATACGACGTAATACATTACTATTTAGGCCAACGATTGTTATGTTATTGTCTGGTCTACTCAAAGAGATAATATGTAATAAATAACTGTTACCATAAAGAATTATAGGAAACGGGTCATATTAGATAATCAAAAAGCGAATAGTTTTAAAACCTATAAGATCAACAGAAGAATATTAATATGAAAATAAGTACAGCTTAGTTTTGAAATCAGCAGTATCGTTAACTTATTTAAACAATTTTTGAAAAAAAGCTATAATCTGGAAATTTTATCAAAAACGTATGGGAACAAGTGCATTTTTTCAACGTATACCACTTCAAAATCGAAAGTGTAGCAAATTAAGAAAAGCAACCCGTTTCAAATTATCTGTGTTACCACAACACCTACTAAGTAATTTACGCGAATCGAATTTTGAATCCCAATGGTAATTTTTTATTATTGCATTTTTTTATTAAAAAATACTATGTACATATTGCAGAATTGATACATATACATAAGAAAACGGTTTCTGAGTTGGATGAAATTTCTGATACTTTTATAAATACATAAGTTAATTTGGTAAAGTAATTTTGAATCCTTTATTAATAAAGAGTTATTTTAAAATTTGATAAAATATTAATATTCAAAAAATTGAAACATCTTAGTAAATTTTTAATCCCAAAAAAGTTTATACAACATGTTATTATCTAGTTTTTAAGTATAGAAATACAGACGTATATTTGCTGCTAAATACATATAGCTTACTGTAATAATTGATACTTGTACGTTCAACTCATTAATTTTATCTCAATTTAAAAATATTCGAATTTCAATTGCGCAATGGTGTAATTATTTTATGGTGAAAGTGAGTGATAACAAAAGTCAAAAAAATATTCATAGATGATAGTTATAGCAATTCAAATTGACAGTATAAAAAATCCAGAAGAAAACATGGACGGAATACATGAGTAAACAAATGTATTGTGATACGACGTCAATGTATCATAAAAGCAATTAAAATTGACCTTAAACTTTCTTACCTTATTGATTGTGCTAAAAATATAAGGCTCTACCGATAGCTTAAAAGTTACTTATTACATAAGTCTGTCTAAACTTTGATATATTAATATTGTTACTGCATTTAAAATGTTACAAAAATATAAAAAGAGGAGAATAAAAAAAAAGCACTATTTTTTTTTTTTAAGTACATTTTATACGAATTTTATGTAAAAACAACTATTGAAGAGTTTCCCTAATATTTTAAATCTTTTGACAAAGCATGTCATAAAGGTAACAAGTAGAAAAGATATCTAAAATTTATTATCTAATTAAAATTCAAAGAAGCTAACAGATTAATAAATTAATAAATAGCTAATTAGGACTTTGCTGTACATTTCTAAATTATAAATATTCCGCACTACGAAAAGATAGATATCGCCAATTGTCAAAAGTAAGCAAAAATTGAAAATATCACTCAGAGCTATATCAAAAAAAAATTTTCTGGAAGGATCAAACTTTTGTAAATATATAAAGCGTTAGGTTTATATATATTTATTTTAAAAATATTTGTGCGAAATTCAGACCTCTTAGACATCCCTCCTCAGATATGGCCTTAATAGTACTATTTCAACAAATACTATAAATCTAACACTAATGGAACATATGTGTCATTCAATCATGAGTAATTTTTCAAATGTAGTCTATATGTAAGATCAGGGCTAAGTGACGAAAAAAGTAATCCTGTTTATTGCTAAAATGGTGGGCTACGTACCTAGTGAGGTAGTTTTTGTTGTTTATTAAAAAAAAATATTTTGTCACTTTGCCCAGATTTTACATTCAGGCTACATCATTTAATGATGTACAAACTCAAGGTTATGGTCATTTTTGTTCAGCTAAAAGTATAATATTCAAGTTCTTTGGTTTATAAACAAAAATCAAGGCATTCAGTTTATGATCTAATCAAATAGCATTAAAAAAAACAGTCTATAATTGCGAGTGTCTATAATTGCACAATACATTAGGAGCTCTCACGCTTTAAATCGCGTAGGCCGAATCGAATTAAAAAACATTATAAAGCGTGTTATATGGAAGTTTACTATTACAGTTTTAAAAACACGTTAATTCGTTCTATTCAATTCAAATTTAAATAACGTTATTATCAATAAAATAATTCACAAAATTTAACCGTCAATTCAATAGAACTTATAATTCCTAATTTTTATAACTTAAATCCAAATCCTAGAAGGAATTCGATTTATAATGCTGTAATGGTTTGTATATGTAAAAAAAATTGATTCACATTTGAATGAGTTTGCTTAAAAATATCACTCAGAAAATGTTTATACTAACGCACACATTTTGATTAAATATTCTATTAACATATTTAAATATTTAGTGATTTGAAGTTTTTTATTTTTAATATTTTAAATATGAAATTATTTTTAAAATATTTCTCTATAATATAATGTTAGTTTTCCTGGCAACCCTTCGTTTATTATTTTAATAATTATAATAATCAATTGTTATTACTGGTTGGTTATTATATCTAACAGTAATTATATAAAGGTAAAATATAGGGGTTTTTTTTTAATTTATAATTAAACAAAATATTTTTAATAAATACGATTTTTTTTCAGTGATAGTATAATCACATTAAATATCACGATTTTATTAATTATTTATTGTAAAATATATTGTTATAAAAAACACGCACAAACATACATAATACATAATTTAAATTTTTTTGTAATTTTACAAGTTTTTGTCATTCAATAATAGATCTCACGGAAGACGTGACTTCAACGTTAACTTTTAATTTATTCTCCTAGATGACATTATATGACTGTACCGTTCAACAGTTACACAGAAATTTAATTTAAGGGGAGGGTTTGAAATTTAAAGAAAATTAGATGTGACACTGCCCATATTATTCGCTCACAAAAATTCCTGTTTTCGATTACTTTATTGTGGAAATATTTATAGTATGATATGATCTTTTTTATTGTTATTACTTATTGTTTATCGTCCAAAATTATCGATTAGATGATAAATTTTGGGAGGGGTTTCAACCCCCAAAACCTCCCCTTGAGTACGCCAGTGCCGTTCAATTGGTTTTAATCTGACCCGACTGATGAGAAACAAATGAATTTCTGTATATATTTTGTTGTTGTGAATACATGTAAATAAAAACAAAATGTTGTCTAATTAAAAAAAAAAATTAATTAAGTGGTAATATTAAAAACTAAATTTTAGAAAATTGAACAGTTTAAAATTAAGATAAAATTAATAGTATAGATTACTTAAAATAGAACTATTATACCTTTTATAACGGTCGATGAAATATGCATGCCAAGTATTAAAATTAAGCGAAAATGATGTAAGTACACACGCTGAGATATTTCAAAATTATGAACACGTCAATGTGAAATAATTAATTACAGTGTTATAGCAACACGGTGAGCTTACGAAGAGAAGTAAAACTAATTTATCTCCATCGAACAATATGATTAAATCATCATTAATGAATTGTCATAAATTCTCTACCTGTAAATAAAATAGAGAAAGCATTAATTAGATTTACAAATACAGATGAATGCTACTCATGTTGATTTTGTACATTGTAATAATTATCAGAGACAGTTATATCCCTGAAAACCAAGAATTTAATTAAAACAACATTCATAACAATCACTTTTTTATCTTTCGTAATACTTGATGTTGCATATTCTTTTGAACTGAGTTTCTTAAGAAACTCAGTTCAACAAAACGCTTTAAGAAACAAATAACTAATTGATTCATTGTTGAACTCAATCTACGTTATAACTTTTGAAATGAAACATCATCGAAACAGCCTCTGGTAACGCCAAATTTTTACCATCATGATATTTGCTTACATGACATGACATGATGTGATTTATAAACACTTTAAGTATCATTTGTGAATCTGTTTACTGTAAGTTATCGTATTACTCAGCTATTATTATGATTGTCTGACGCATAATTGTTTTCTAAAAACCCAAGTGATGGAGTTCGTAAACGGAAAGACAATGTTCGCTATTATCAATTTTGCCATGACATTGAAGTATGTTTTTCATTTTTAAATCATTCAATACATCTTTTTACTTGAGTTACTAAGAATAAATTAAATTATTTTTATTAAAGGGTAAATAAAAATTTGTGAGAGTGGATGGTTATAAAATCTAATAACAAAAATTAATGATTTTATTATTTGTACGATACAACTCATAATAGGAATATTTTCAGTTCACATTATTATTTAGATGATATAACTATGTAAATATATCCTATAGTGAACACCTACCTGCATTTTCGTCATTGGATATTATAGAATAATTATAACTACTAATCTTGATAATATTATATTAGTGTTTTTCAGCCAATGTTAATTAATTATTAAAGATCATCAAAATTTGGTTTATATTGAACTACGTCTATTGAAGAGGTCATTAAAATTTGAAAGTCCAATTAGGAATAACCATTTATAAGAAAGTTAAGAAATACTGTTATGTATCATAATTGACTTGTCTAAGTTTTATAGAAATTTTACATTTAGACCATGTGTTATATACAGTGTGATTTATTAAGTATGCTACCCTCATTTTTTAATTAAATAATGATTTGTTTTTCATAATAATGTATAGACTGAAAAAAAGTTACTTCATTTTTAAAGCCATTGTACATATCAAATATATTGTAAGTAAAAATCATTTCTAGAGGAAGATTTTAGGAAAGTAAAATGGGAACATATTAAAATATTTTTACGATTAAATGGAAAATGAAATAAAATTTAGAGTGGTGTACAACCAGTTTTGTATTATTACTTTTTGATATATTACCATTTGAAAATTTAGAAAAGGTAAGAAGTAGGGTAGTGGTTAGCAAAACTCTACTTTTACCAAAACGCACAGTTAAAAATTCTTCTACGTTGCACATCCCGCTCATCAACTAAAAATTATAATAACTCAAAAAGTAATTACACACAATTAGTAATCGATCTGTTAACGTTTTATTTAGACTATTCTCCATTTAATAGTAAATAATAATAATATGTTCCCGTTTAACTTTTAAAAGTTATTCCTAAAATCTACCCTTAGGAATATTTATTTCTTGCAATAAACTTGGTATTTAAAATAGTTTACAATTACATTGTTATTAATTATACAATAGTTTCCGGCTGTTTGTGAAAAACTAATTATCCATAAAAAAGTAAATCTTAACTAATAAGTTAGGTTAAGCTAACAATAGATATCTAATATAAGGATTTTGTTTATTTTTTTGATACATTTTCTCACTGTCATATATTTAAACATAATGACTAACAGGTGTTATTTTTTATTATTTTAGTGGCTGATGCAAGTGGACATTATGGAGGCGGGTACTTTTGGGGAAATACATTTTGGCTGGGATCAAAAAGCTTATGTTCTGAAATATCTCATTACGATAAAGACTTACCATTTAAAATTGGTTTTAATGTTGTTCGCACATACATTGCACTCAAATCTCCAATTAATGTTACAGTAATTATACTATAAATTCTAAAATACAGCGATTTTATTTATTTAAGTTACACGATAAAAATTAAACAGCAATTAATTTTTTTTTAATTGCTATTAAAAATGAATATATGTACTGAAAATTACCAATAAATAATTACATCAAATGATCGTTTAGGTACTTTCTAATTTTCATTTAGAACTGCAACGCTTCTTAATCACTTCCGCCTTCTTAAATTAATTAATATATCAGAAAATTACGAATGCTAATCGTTTGCTATTAAACTAAATATGAAAAATAAATCATACATGACACAATAATAATTACTGTGCCCATTTATTTACTTATTTTATTATTTATTAACAAAAATATCCAACGTGATGTTTTGTTTTTAACAAATTATTTGGGCATCTATCAAATTATAATTAAACATCAAATGTTGAATTGAATAAAATACTTCATATTTACATTTGTAAAAATAAAGAATAAAAAGTAAATCTAAAAATTATTTTCTAAAATAAGCTCTTAATCTAGGAACGATATCAACATATAGGCTTATGTTTACCCTATGCTTGTACTGCTACCGATGTTAACAAATTAGTCAGTCATTCTCTTCAACATGACATACCTGAGCGAAATGCGAATGTTTCTAAAGTCAAATCTCCACGTGAATATTATGATATTTATAAAGATAGGACATTCTGGTTACTCGTGTAAGTAATCTATTAATTAAATGTAAATCATCTTCAGAGAATATTGTTATTAGAACGTTTTCACAATTAATATAATTTTATTCTAGCATTATATCTGGCTTAACTGTTATACTTCTGGCATTAGGCACAAGCTTAGACTATTATTTGGAAAATAATGTATGCAAAAAAGTTAATGGATTTATGTTTGATAATTACAATTTTACAGTTAATCACAAAAAACTCCAACCACTATCTGAACATTCTAAAATAGATATTGATCCCGGTAAATTTTCTCAATTATAATATTATATATCAAATTTTCTTTGTACCTAAATCGTTCTTCATTACAGTTCCCGGCCAAAACATTGAAGTAGCCTCAGAGAGTATACCAGGAACATGTGAGTACAGGTTATTACGAAATATTATTGGGAAAACAATTTAAATTGTTTTAACAATTCATTTTTTAAGAAAATAATAACACAATTTTATTATGACATTGTTAGGTTCAATTGTAGATATGCTTTTGTCTTTTTCTATTCGTAGAAATCTTAAACAAATATGTGACAAAACAATTGGTGAAGATACTATATCCACAGTACATGGTATAAGATCTTTAAGCATGTTTTGGATTGTTTTAGGTCACGTTTGCATAGTGTCATTTAAATATTCAGGTATTAAAACAAAATATACCTAAAATGTATAGTCTCTATTAATTTTACATACTTTCAGACAATATGGCATTTCGTACTGTAGTCGAACGTGAATTACTTTTTCAACTAATCAATAAAGCAACATTTTCAGTTGACACTTTTTTTTTCATAAGGTACTTACTTACTTACCCTGTGTTTTGTTTTTAATCAAGTAGTAATTTTATAATTGTTATTTTCCTAAAGTGGACTTTTAGTATCATTTTTATACTTTCGTACAACGGCTAAAGTTGACGTTAACAAATTGACCAAAGCTACTGGTTATCTATCTAACTTCATAGAGTTCATTGGGTTGTTGGTGTATCGATTCTGCAGGTCTGTTTTAAATTCTTTAAATAATGTTAATTTGGGACTTTAACAATTAGCGTTTACATTTGCAGACTTACTGCTCCATATTTTTTTGCATTGGGAGTAGTTCAATTAACAATGAAATGGTTCCATTATAATTCTGTGTTTGATCCTCCAACAGATGATCACATAAATTGTCCTAAATATTGGTGGAGAAATTTGTTGTACATCAATACTCTTTATCCAGTTCAAGATATGGTTTGTATAAAAAGAAAAAAATGTTATTTTAACCAATTAAATATAAATTTCCTGTCTAGTGCATGCTTTGGAGTTGGTACTTAGCTGATGACACGCAGTTTTACATACTTGGAGTAATACTACTAATATTATCGGCACGGTATGTTAATGATAATTTTTATACATTAATGAAAAAGTTCAATTTGAAGTTTTAAGCAATGAACAAATAAGGAAGTAGTACAGTCATCGTTTTTAAATTTTTAATTATTATAATTAAAATGAGCATTAATATTTGAAGACGTCAATATATTAACGAGAGTTGTATTTTTTAAAACTTCTCAAAAAAAAAAAACTAGAGATTTTTATAGGAACTTACCGAATAGTATAATTACAAAATGTTTTTTTTTTATACAGATTGTTGAAATATTCTTTTTCAGTCAAACATTCTGTAATTTTTTCATAAATAAAATCTTGTCAAAGCCTGATTTTAAAAGAAAATTAGAACTGCCTTGTATTAGTCTTCAGTTTTAGTTGGATTTTTACAAAAATTATTAATTTATTTTTGATTTTTTCTAGGTATTTTAATTTTGCAGCCTTCACTCTTGTTCTATGCACAGTTGCTTCATGGTTCACCACAGGTTACATTGCGTACACCAATAAACACATGCCCAAGTCAGTATTTGAAGAGTAATATTTTGCTAAACTTAATAAAACTATAATAAAATATTCCTATTTTTTTAGTATTGATGATCCATTAGCTTTATTCGATAAGATCTACGACAAACCATGGACTAGATTAAGCCCTTACTTTGTCGGTATGGCTATTGGATGGATATTGTTTAAAACTGAATGCAAAATAAAAATGAATTCTGTAAGTTACTAAACGCATTAAAAATATTTCTAATATTATTTAGAGTAATGTTAAATTCTACTTTCTCCATTAATCTCTGTTAACACGACACTGCTGTAGTATAGTCATATTACATGAGTAATTGCATATAAATTCATGATTACAATAAAAAATATATGATTTTGCTATTTTTTACAGCTAACAATATGTATGGGTTGGGCAGTATCTTTGGCCACTCTCGCTAGTCTGATATTTGGCCTTCATCAAGTTGAATTGCATCCAATTATAGCTGCAATGTATTCTTCGTTAAGTCACACTCTCTGGGCACTATGTTTGGCTTGGGTAGTTGTTGCTTGTGCTACTGGAAATGGAGGTAGATATCACTTTTTTTTTAAAAGAATCTAAATACATAAATATATTTTTTTTTATTTAGGATATGTGAATAAATTGCTATCGTGTAGTGTATTAATACCATTCAGTCGTACAACATATTGTGCATATTTAGTACATCCAATAGTTATCAGATACGCAATTATGAAACGTGACAGTCCATTCCATCTGACAATAGAATCTGTGGTAAGAATAGATCATCTATTTTTATTAATATAATATTACTTGTATATTTAGTTTCGCATATTAATCAAAATTCAATTTTTATCAATTAATCATTATTTCAGACTCTCATGTTTTTGGGACAGTTAGTTGTTTCCTACTTTTTTGCATTTTTACTATCGATTGCCTTCGAAGCACCTTTTGTGTCTTTACTGAAACTTGTATCACCTACAAAACGAAATAACTGACTGTGTTAATTTTAAGTTCAATTTGTTTCATCGAATTAGAAGTTCAAGTGATAAGCCACCGAATTATTTAAAACTTTTTTTAGTGATAAAATTTATTTATTTAATGTTTGTGTACAAAGGATTTGTAATAAATCGGCCCGCATCACTCACACGAGCATGCAATCCTTGTATTTATATTGTATAAATATAATTAAAATAGTACAATTGAGTTATTTATATCATATAATTGTTTAAATAAATATTACTTAAGCTTGTATTTTATTTCGTGTGTTTCGATCGCAAATAGTAGTAGTATAGATAGAAATTTTTAGGGGGGTATATACCAAAAAAAAAAATTTTACTACTTCCTCCAAATGAAAATAAATTGTATCTTATCATGTAATCATTTTTACAAGCGGAATCTATTAAACTTCACCCCCTCTTTCCTGACACAAAGCCTCGCAAATTGTTGAATTTTGAAAAAACAAACTAATATTTTCATAGGTACCTAATACAGAGTGATTTGGGTCATTTGGGGGGAGGGTCAGGGTGTGCGATTACACTCTTACTTTAAAAACAGTTTCAATTGGCCTGTAAAAAAAATGCATCAATTTTTTATACATCAATTCAAATTTCAAAAACACTGTATTATCATGGTTACATGGGTCAATAAACAAATATTCTGTTATCAATTAATTAAGTAAACAGTAACTTTATCATACTGAACCATTGATGTTTGTAACTATTTTTATTACGACTTTTTTGACGCGCAGTTAACGGCAATAATTGATAACGGTAATTAACTGATAAATATACAATTCAACAATTGCTACGACCCGAACTACGTTATATTATATTATATAATATAAAAATAGTAAGTATTATTATAATTTATATTTACTACTTATGTTGATTGCGATTTATAATCTATGGAAAAATTAAAAGAAGAATAATTTACTTAAGTAGGTATGTCCATTTTTATATGGCCTAATGAAATTTCAAAATGGTCTACTTGAAATCTCGCACACCCAAGATAAAAACTGAAATGACGCCTCTGATCTAATGTGGTGTATTTAACTTTCAGAGGTGCATATTTTATAAAAAAGCTTGTACAATAACTGATTCTCCCCAAGCAAGTAAACTAATAACAAAAATCTGTTTCCCGTCCACACTAGTTTCAACAGCAATACAAATTTCTCTGTACTATCTATGATTTTCTAAAATGTAATAAATATATTATATATATATATATATATATTCAAGCTGCTATTCCTACCCATAATTTTGCAAATGTAATTTATGACATATGTTAATCGTTTTTTGTTATAATATGTAGAATATTTTTAATATCATTAAATATAATAATAGGTTTACTTAAATTTAATAAATGCCCCCAAACAATTAGCACGTCTATCTATATAAATTGTATAACTTATTGTTATAACAGATAATGTCTTTTACATATATACTTATAATATTCGCATAATTAAGCAGAATACTTTCCTAAATATCCATGGTATAGTTTTAGCTTAGTTATAAAGCTGAAAAAAAATGAATTTTACTATTATGTGATTTTTTAAATGTCTGTCGTCACTTTTTCTCAGCTCTCACCGGATTAATTTTTATTAATGATACATCAATAGATCACAAATCGTATTGGGTTGAATATATTATCATTAAATATTGAAAAAATTTCTCTCGTTCCCTGTAATTGCACGACAATCCCCCCAAAAATTAAGATTTCTTAAATCGGTAAATTTCTACATTTTTAAAACTATTTCCTCTTATAATATATTTATTGGATTAACATTTTAAAAATTCAAAAAATATACTTTTAATAATATTAGCCAGGGGTGATTATTTCTTATTATATTACAAACTGCATAAATTCTATCTGTAATATTTTAATTCAATCTATTTAAGTAACCAGGATTACATAAGATACTGAAATGTAATAATTCTAAGGTATCATGCCTCGAAAAACACAAAAAATTATAAGTTCATAAATTATAAGTATAAAAGTCAACGAATGACCGTTATAGTGGTTAAAGACTTTCAATAAAGAAAGTAAATTTAATTTAAAAAATCGTCTTATACGTTATATCGACATTTTTTTTATATTTTGATTGCTGTTTTTACATTTGAAAAACTAATCTAATTGATGTTGTTTTTTCAACTATAGGCCACTGGAAGCGCTATGATATTACCGTTTTTAAGAGAAGGAATTTTACATTTTAATTACAAGTCCTACTAAAAGATAGCGTTAATATCCACTAACGTTTATCAAACTGTTGTGCTCGTAAAAATTTTACGTTAATTAATCTATCTTTTTTGTAGTTATAAAACGAATTGTTAATCATAATTTTATTAGTAGGAAATCAATATGTAGTTAACGTTCAATTTCACCAGAAGTGTTTTGTTATTTCTGTTGTACCTCTGGTATTTCACGTATTCTGCAGAAGTTTAAAAACTACGTATCACTTTAAATATGATAATACTCATCATCGTAGTTAACTCCGGCTCCCTTTCAATACGAATAAATCTTTCGCCTTTTACTAAAGATTTCCGTGGCGGGGAGCATTCAAAGGAGTCTAGACTTACAATTTTTTTAACAAGGCCCGACTACGGTTGGGCTCATATCTTGTACATAATACCTCTAATAAGTTATACAATTGTATATACTAGTACCTCTATCACGCAAATATTATTAAAATTGTCAACGAGACTGTTTAGTGATACTTCCTAAAAAAGAAAGTCAATAACATTCTCATCAGTTGCCACAATTAAAAAATAAATGTAATTATGTATATAATATAATTAAATTTAGTATACATAGCAAAACATTTAAACAACTTTAATTAAAAATACTAAGCAATTTTCCACTAAGAAAAATTGAATATTTATTAACAAAGTCTCCCGAGATTAATTATACTTAATAGCAGTTTTCTTTTTAAATCAATTTAGATTTATTAGTGTTAAATTACACTAAAAATTTTGGAAATAACTTATTAAAATTATGAGGATTACCAGAAATATAAATAAATAATAAATTTAGAAAAATTAAACAAAAAAAAATTTGATCATAATATATTGAATTAGTCAAAATATACAGATTTAAATTATTTATATATTTAAATCTATTAAAAAACTATATACATAAGTGTATGTTCTTGTAGATTTTTGCAATACATTTTTATTATTAATAAGTAATGTTGCATTGACACATATATAATGCACCCATTCTATACCAAATTTTACAAGACTTTTACATTATACTTAGGTATAAAATTTTAAAAACTGTAAAAATATAAATTATAAAACAATTATTTGTGATTAAACAGTAATAAATACATAATATACATTTTTTTTTACTGCATAGCCATATCATCAACAAATACTTCATTATCAACTGTTTTATTATTAATAACTGTTGATTTATTTTTTAAGCTTAATAAAATATTTTCATTAAAAATATTCTTTGCAGTATCTGATTGAAGAAGAACATTTGTAATGTTTTTTTTCAGTTCAACAACTACTGTACAGTCTGATGAGCTACTTTTTACTATTAAATCCAACAAATCTAAAAAATAACAAAACACAAACAAAAAAAATAGTTCATATAATTATGTTTAATAATTTTTCCCATGAGTTTTAAAAGCCAAAATTTTATTATTACAATCTATATAAGTCTAAAACAATTTTTAGAAATAGTTACTAAAAAGGTATATCTTATGACATAACTTTATCAAAATTTTAATTTTAAGCATATACCCTTTCATGGGTTAGGATGAAAGAACTATTTTATATAATTTTTTAAGTTCAACTAAATAAAATTATTAACCACCAACAACCCTAAACTTAAAACTTTCTCATATGTTAAAATCTTTACAACGAATCAAAAACTTTCTATCAGCCTAATATACAACAAATATTCATAAAAGAAAAAAATATACTTTACAAAGTCAAAAATATTTAAATCATTAATAAATACAAATATATCTAAATGACCAGGTCCAGACAAGATTCCTTCATCCTTTTTTTACACCAGCATATTTGAACTCGTAACATCTTTATATTAATTATTTAATCAATCTTTAACAAGGAAGCTTCCCATGTAACTGGAAAGTATGTTAAATTAATCTAATATATAAAAATGGAATAAAATTAATAGCCGACAATTACCAACCAATTATCATTAATATAAATTACTTCGCACTAATATTTAAAAAACTAGTTAGATATATGCATAATTTTGATCTTAAGCATATTATTAATGAACATCAACATTGGTTTATACAATGACTAACATTTGTCTGTACACCAATACACAATCAATAAAGCATTTATAAAAAACAAACAAGTATATGTTATATAATAAACGATCAATTTAAATACAGTATACTAATTAACAAACTTGAAGCAATTAGTTTCAGTGGAAGTACACTAGAATGATTCAGATCATACATAAGGGACAGAATACAATATATGAAAAATGAATAATAATCTTTCTAAACATATTCAAATTACATCTTTTTACCCTATACTTAAATTATTTTTTATCAAATAATTTTAGTATCTAATTAATATGGATAATCAGAAATTAATTAAATGCATAAACAATATTGACAACTGTTTTATACTTAAAGAAAACTTAAACTATTACACTAAATTGAGCAATGTTAATGATATGAAAGCAAATTCTACAAAAAGCATAATATTAACTTTCAATAGAAAACGCCATATTATACATTTCAACTACAAATAAATAAATACTCAGATACAATTATATAAACAAATTTAATTAAAGATTTAAGGGTGATATTTGACAACAAACTACACTTTAAAGAGCATATGTAATATCTAATAAACAAGGTATACATATGTATGAATTTATGATAAGATGTACAAAATTAAATTTAACAGCTATCAAAATCTTGTATACCTTCTTAGTAAGAACCCACCTAGAATATGTCAGTATAATATGGAATCCTACATTTAAATATATAAAAAGTACAAAACAATATTTTTACATCAAGTGAAAACTAAACACAGATAATAACATACAAAATATAAATCTACCATCTCTTAAAACCAGAAGACCAATAAATAATCTAATTTTTTTTTACAACATAATTAATGAAATTATTGATGAAACTAATACTCTCAAGGAATTTAAGGTACATATCCCTTCTGGTACAATAAAGCAGAATTAACTTTTACATGTTACAAATGCCAAAACCAGCAGAATTATCCATTAACGGAATTTCAAGAATAAAATTTTAAATTTATACATTTATACTACTTAAATATATTATCTATGTATTATTGTTAAATTTATATTATGATGTTTATAAAAAGGGTTTTTACCCATATAGTTGTAAATAAAATAAAATATTTTGAAACTATTAGCAGCATAAACAGACAATAAAGACTTAACATTAACAAATTAAGTTGTATTCTGAATAAGTTCTTATTCTTTATAGCATTTTTATTCAATAGACATTTAAAAAATTTAATTTACTTGGACACTTATTTATTTCTTCTTGGCCCCATGGTTGTTCAACCAGAGCTAACAATAACTCAAAACCTGCTTGTTGAATGTCTGAGAAAGGTAATTTACATGCAGCATGAACAATATTTTTAATAGGATCAGTTTTTATATTCTTAAACCACTTTTCAGTGCGAGTTACCATATCATTAATTGATAATAATTCTCCATGCTACAAAACATCATGTCAAAAAAAGTAGTACAATAAATTAATTTAATTGTAATTATAATTACCTCTATTTGAATAATACTAGTAATAGCTTGTATTGCGCTAGCTTTTAATTCAGTCTTAGTACTAGTGGCAAAGTGGTCAAGTTCTACAATTAAGATACTCCAAAGATCTAAACAATCATCTCCTCATAAAAAATAAGTTTAGTATAAATATAACCTCTTAGAAAATGAAGGATACAATAAAAAACAGTAATAATTCATTTTTGTAAATTTTTCAGGAGACCAAAAATAATATAATATAATAAACTCCTATTTCTTTAATAATAAAACAAAAATAAATATTTTAGTATTAATAAAATGAAAACATTTGTCGCCAAATGAATTTCATTACTCAATACAACTACTAATTAGCTATCCATCCAATCAAACAAAAAATAAAAAAAAATGTATAACAAAATTATAAATTATCTCTAGATATTTAATAACCCTAAAATTCTATAGTTTTACTTAAATATATTTTAAATCATAAATAATATTATTTAATTAAAAACATAATAACTGAGATTCCATTCATATAAACTGAAAAATGTTTACAGAGTTTTAAAATTGAAATTAACATTTATTATTCAATAACTGTTATTAAACAGTTATACAATTTTTGCTTAAGTTAAATTTTTAAAAGATAAATATAATAATTCAATAATACCTGATTCTTCATTTATTAACCCTGGTATAGGAGTATCTAATACTATTTTACAATCCCAAGACATTGCTAATGAATTAATTCCTTTTATTGCAACACCAATAAGAATAGGGTCATCACCTTCCTTCAAAACTTCATAGATTACATGGAATACTTTTGTATATGTTAAAAGAATAAGATGTGGTCTAATTTTGATAATTTTTACAAAAAATTCCAAAACAACTAAATTAATTGATTAAATATAATTAACTTAACATACATTGATTATCTTTTAAATACTAACTAGGATTAAGAATTACAGCTGAAGGATCATCTAATTCTTTAGGACATGAGCTTAGTAGGCGATATAAGCCACTAATTATTCCAACAGAATTCAAATAATCAAATCCATGTTCAGTAGTACTTAATGGAATAAGCATTTGGATGGTAACCATTTGCATCATTATATCATGATTAGTAATATCAGACACTAAATTAGTTAACAAGCCCTTAGAACTAATAAGTGCTAAAGCTTCAATGGACTTTGCCCAATGAAATAATACCTAAAAAAGACATTTCAATTTTTAGTTATTTAAGTATTATTTACTATAAAAATACAAAATTATTACTACCTACTCGTATGGTCTTAAAAAAAAAAAAAAAAAAAGTCATTTAAAATCTACTAAAAACATGTTATTAGAACTACTAAGACGACAGCAAAAAAAAACTTTTTTTTTTCTAATTATGATATTCCACTATTAGTTATTAAATTAAAATAAAGCTGAGCTAAATTTAAAATGTATAAATGTCAATGATTAGTTTTTACTAAATGCTTTTACCAGGTTACTGAATAAAAATTTTAAAGATCCAAAAACAAAAATAATAAATTTCTTAGTGACATAAAGTTATTAAAATTATTAACAAAAAAAACTGGGTTAAACATATTTGGTTTAGTTGGATGAAGTTATAGTTACTTTATTATTTATTAATTGTTTCTATTTTTTATTTTCTTATATTATATTTATTCATTCATCTGATATCTGAATGAAATTCATACAAAGAGGGACAGTCTATTTTATATATTTTTGATTTATGTTAATTTTGTAGGAAATTTCAATTAATAATAATATCATGTTTATGTGACCACCATTGGAGTTATCAAGTTATTATCATTTGAAGTTAGATATAAAGCACACATTCTTTTATATGACATATCACATTTTATTCATCTATGAAAAGTAGTTGTTTATACTTTATTCCCTATGCATGAACTTAAACCATCAAAGACAAAACTATTGGTTACCTTTCAAACCTAAATACATCCTAAGTTTCATTTTATATATTTTTATTATTAAAAGAAAAAAAAACTTTATCATTTAAATAGATAGGTAGTACTCAGTTAAAATTAGAAAATAATACTATTAAATTTAAATTTCTCATAAAATATTGTTATTAGTATAGCGCAATATAAATTTACATCATAAACTCTTGTTCGTATTTTTGCATCCATCATCACAATACTTTGAAATCTTGTTAATATTGGTAAAGATGAAAGAGCCTCAACACTCTGAAATTGCTTTAGGCATTTGACAGCATTATAAGACACAGACATATCATTACTTTTTAAGTTATCAATAATACTGCATGCTAAATCCACTTGAATTTCTACAGAATTATCAATTGTTAATAATTTTTCCAACTAAAAAATAAAATTTAAAACTATGTTAATCTTTGAATACTATTTATACATGTTTTAAACAATTATTAAAGTACTTAATATTTAAAATCCAATATTCAATATTCCAATTTTTATTAAAACAATAATTTATACTTTAATAGTTTTAAAAATTAATCAGATAGTTAATATTTCAAAATCATTATTATCTAATAATCATAAAACATACCTCAGATAAAATTGTTGACTTGACAGTATCACTTGGATGCTGTAAAGCTCGCTCAATACTCAAAGAATACCTATTAAGAGCAGAGTTTGGGGGTAATACCGATAAAAGTTTTTGAAGTAATAGGCAACTTGACTCTATCTGTTTTCTATAATTAAAAATAGCATTATTATAATAACAAATAATTTTATTTAACTATTCTCACGGATCAGTAGTGTTGAGACAGTCAAATATGAGATTTAAATCCATTAGTTCAGCTGATTTGTACAATTCTGAACGGGTTAACTTATTCAAATATATATTACAATCAGTCAAAACATCAGTAACTTCTGTATTATCAATTGATAATTTATGCATAGCTAAAGCAATTAATGCAGTATCAACTAGTAAAAAAAACAAATATAGTATTAATTACAATGTAATATAATCAGATATAATATTTTGTTATAATTATTACAAGTTCAAACTTAATATCCAAAGTGAATAAAAAATATATTAAACATATTTATTTTATTAAATTTAATTTCATTGAACTATGTATAATATTTAGGTAAGAATATGGCTCAAGACATATTCAAAACCATTTTAGAAAAAAATTTAAATCAATCAATTTTTAATATTAGTCCATCATTTTTAATAGTTAGTAGGATACGTGTGAGGAACATTTTAGCAAAATTGTTTGGATTAGTTTAACTTAAATTACTTATCAAGTACTTTAGAAGTTTAAGTAAAATTTTTTTTTTAATTCACTTTATTTAATTATCTTATCAACATAATATTATAATGAATGCATTTTACAAGTATGAAAAATATTTACAATAAATATGAAATGATCTTAAATCTAGATTTTCAATTACAGTAATTACTATAATGATAAATATTGATATGTCTAGTATTTTCAAAAGGAATATCTTTCATTTTAAAACATACATAGAAACTAAACTTTCAAATTAAAGAATAATTAAACTTCATATATTAGGATTTTTTTCACAAAAATATACTAAAAAGAAAACTTAAATTTTCAAAGAAAATAGTCAAATTCCTATATTTTTTACCTTCTTGATCTTCAGACATCTTTTCATGGATAGTTACTTGTTTAGTAAGTAAACAATTTTTTAGTATCAAGAATATTCCTATATAACAAATAAATCAGAATTGAAAGTTTACCATTTTTGCACACTCATAATGATATCAAAATTCGAACTTAAAATGATAACAACAAAAATAACAAAAGTAAAATATATAATAATTAAATGAAAAATAGATAGCAGCACATTATTTAGTGACTAATATATTTTATGACATTTTATATCGTTTTAATTTTTGAAAGACCTATTTCAGTCGTAAAAAACTATAATGAATATTTTTCTACTCAATTATTTTTTTTTGCTAAGTGACAACAATTTAAGGAGAGATACTTCTTGCATTTTCAACTGAATAAATTAGTATTATAAAATTATAATTTTTATTTTTTGCTATTACTTTAAAAGTTATAAAAAGAAAAAAATACAAATTTCTTTGAATTTACTTTTACAATTACATACACAGATTTGCAAATAATTAAACTTTTCATCTAAACTGAGTGACAAACTAGACCATCCAGTTAACTTATGATTTCGTGTATGTTGTTTAATATGCTAATTGATATAATTTAGAAGTGAAACTCTAGTTCTATGAAAACATGCCAAATTATAATAATTATAAATTTGCTTTTAAACTCGTAATTTAAACTATGACTTTAAAATAATCAATACATAGTAGAAGAACCTTTTTTTAGAATTTGCTTAATAGATAAAAATTGATATAAACCTATGGTTATTTTCAAAAGTTGTATGTCAAATAAAGAAAATTTTCAAGACAACAAAAAAAACTTTAATTTTAATGGCGATTACGGAAATCAACATTTTTAAGGTTTGATATCTTATCGTTAATAATATTTATTGTAATTTTTTGAAACATTAAAAAAAAAAAATCCTTTTGTATATATGATAAAAAAACCTCAGAAATCCATTTTTAACATATCTGTTTTTAGATACGAGTATACAAACATATTTAGTATTATATGTTGGTACCTTGGAAGAGCCTCTTATAAAAAATATTGCTACCATAAAAAGTGATGAAAAAAATATATGTATAAACCGTATAAAATCTGTCACTAATCATATCTAGACTAATAAAATTAATTCGAGCCTAATCGTGTTACTGAAGTAGTAGTGTTCATCAGCAAAAACTAATTAATGATATTAGGTATATTAGAAATACACCCTCAGCCCATGTTTATAACATAAAAGATTTTTTTTCTAAATTTATAACAAATTTTTTTGGTCAATTTAAATTATAATATATATATATACATATATTTTTAAAACTTAGTCAGGTAATTTACTTAAAATATGAGATAATCGATGTTTAACTTGTGATAAGTCTGAATTATTAGACTTATTAAGTATATTTAATCTATGATACATGTCTATGATTGTTTTGCCGCCGTATAATTTTATCATAAAACCTTTAAAAACTCACACGTGTTTATATTTTCAATTCATTTAAACGAGACACCTTAAGGTTGTTAACATGTTAATGAACATCTCCATAATGTCTAAAATAGGGATGTTATTTTACAAGATAAAAATATTGATATGATATAAGTTAATTTGACTGTCTAGTCGATAGCGGATAGCTTCTTTCGCCTAGATCTGATCAATGCACATAAAAATAGTGTCTGCGCTCAATCATTGAGACGTTTTATTTGTACGGGTAAGAACAATTAAGATAAAAAAGGTACTTTTTTTACACATCCGTTTACCCGCGCGTGTGCCGCGTTAAGATAGCGAATAAAAATGTCCTCACAACAAACCAAAAATAACCATTAAAACCTAATAGCCGTGTTACTACAAGTAATAATGAATAACTAGCAGCTACTAGCATTTGGATTACAATTAAATGTCACAAAATTTTTGTTTGAAGGCGAACGGATTTTTGTTGTACTTAGATGCAAAAAATAATTTTTTACGAGAGTACCTACTTGTATCTGTTGACAAGGCGTTATTTGTACACCCAAAGAAATAATAATAACGAGCATAGAAAATTCGCATATAATCTTTGTCGACAAATAGCTCACGTCCATATTTCTGACGGCCGTTTGACACGTAAACGTCAAGTGTGGAACGAATAGACGCCGAGGGGGGAATTTCAAAATAAAAGTACAAGGAAAAATAACCAAAAAACACAATCATAATAGACAGGCGTATAATGATAACATAAAAAAAAAAATGCCGAGCACGTTCCCTCGTTGAGATCCTAATCTTCTTGGCTGCGAACCGACAATATTCCATACACACACATCTTTATTTAATATCTTTACACCTGGACAGCACGGGCACTGTAATCCTCGGTCTTATCGGTTGCGGTTTTTAAACCAATACCTACTGTTCGCATTGTAAAAAAATAATCCGAGTTTGTTTTTTTTAACATCTCGAAATATCTTGTTTGCAATATGACAATCTACGGGCATATGATACTTAAAATAGAATTAAAAAACCGCACTGAAATCATGAACAAGCCCACATTTTGTTATCAATGAAGTTCAATCGATAACACTAACAGATCTATTTAAAAAATAATAAAATATTATAAACATTTGTTCATCTATAATTAGACAAAAAATAAATATTAATGTTCCTCTCAAAATATACATAATTTATATTGTAAATTCGGCAGGCCACATTAAAACATTTAAATCTAAATATTTTTCTTATTTGTTGAAATGGATGTATTGGCAAGTTCATCAACTACTATTCTCATAAGATTTTATTTAATCATGGTTACTCACTTTAATTTGGATTTTTAATCTGATAATCAAATTTTTTATCGACATTATAAGATTGATTAATAAGTTACATAATAAATTTTACGAGAAACTTTGTTATTGTATAAAAAAAAAAGTTATTTAAGTATAATACGTTCAAAGTAATTATTCAGATAAATTAAAAATCTTTATTTTTCATACGCAGAACACTTTAGGTGAAGTTATAAGATAAATTCAGGCAGCACACTAAAAGTATATATATTATGTACTGTAAACCTTTCATTTTTAATCTAAAAAAGTTTAATTTTTGTTATTAGTAAGGTGAGTTTGAATGTACCTTTCCATCTAAAAAAATTGAGCCCTGCATTTTAGTTGAATCTATTTGAAAATTACATCAATATATATTACACAATTGAGGAGGATTCATGAGATAAATATTGCAAGTATTTTTATAACCGCGACACTTGAAAGATCACAATGCAAAACGTACTATTTTTAAATATACAATTTTTCAGGACAGGCGATTTTCTAAAATTAAAAGGGTACATTTTGCACAAAATAGTTATTTTCAAATAAATTTTTCTATAGGAAAAAGTACGTTTAATAAAAAAGTAATCAGGTCATTCGATGTTCGTGTCCAAATTACCATACGAAGATTAATGCTTAACTCAAATTCGATAAAAACAAAAAAAGAACGTTTTGGATTGTAACCCCTCATTTAAAGTATTAAATTATGAATACACCTTGATCGAACATAACAGCTGCGTAAACGCATTTGTTTCAAAGTGTATGTAATTTATACGAATTTAGAATTTCGGAATAACTGTACATATTGTAAGGAGGGTTGGAAAGTGAATTAGGGATAATATAAGGAACTAAAAAGCGAACGTGCCGTACACAAATATTTAAACGGAAAAAAACTTATATTTGTAAGATCCACTCGTGTGTCTATTAGTGGACAAATACAAAAGCAAAAAAAGTAACTGTATTGATATAGGCGAGGCGGCAGTCGATTTTTGAAGGGTCCAAAAAACAGCTGCCCGCCAAATGTCCCATAACCCATCCAGGTGCATCTTGACCACACCGTCTCTCCTTATTTTTTTTACTTTTTTGTTGCCTTATAAACCTGGTCAGTAGTGGGTGACATATTACTTTTTGCGGGCCTTTTGTGTCTGCTAAATCTACCCCTAAATAACCGTAGAGTGTCTAAGTCGCCGACGATACCGAAGAATTACTGAATGGAATTATATGCATTTATGAAAAAAAATCGTTAAAAAAATATCGATGCATCCGCAGCTATAAATCTTTTTAGACACTCGGCGTACAGTCCAGATCAATAGAAATGTCGACTTTTGTTCACTTTAATACCCAATGTATAAAAAAATAGCCTTCAAATTTGGTTGTTATAATTTATTACAAGACATAAAAATTAAATGCTGTTCAATTTACAAGTTATAATAATGTATCAGACGAAACAAAAAAAACGTAAACACTGATCAAAAAAGGTACAGCACGCGATCAATTTTTGCTATAGTAAAAAACTAAATTATTTAATCTATTAATTAGGTGATATAAGTATCGTGAGTTTTGGCGAAAAATAACAATATTTTTCCGTTCACTGCCAAACATAAAATATTAATCAAAGCCTTTTATTATTCCAAAAAAATCATTAGATAGGTTCACCTGTAATACACGTGTATACTGACTGTAAATAAGTGGCCATTCAGATCGCCATAGAAGGACCACCCGTTTTGTGGGGCATTGATCATCCAACCATACCGACAAAACAAGATAACATCTAACATATAACCGTACCTGTTAAGTAGCTTTTTAACTTAAAATCTTAGCCTATTGTAAAATTAACAAGGAAAAAGATTAATCAAGCATCGTCAAAATATAAACTCCTCAAACAATTAAGCTTATTAAGAATTCTTAATAAAACCAGAAAAAGTTTAATTTAATTCGAATTAAATTAAACTCTTTCTGGTTACCTACATATACCTAGCAATACATACACAGTTCGGCGTAATAGATTAGGACCAAAATTACAAGTATAGGTTGTCAAGCTAAATTGACCAAGAAATTTGTAAAATATTCTTTGAGTCAGTAAAAATAGCTTAGTGTAAACAATTATCGTGGTGATAATTAGAGTGAGCACTAGAACGTTCGAAAATAGTCTTCAAGAAAGTTTGTACGGAAAAGCTAATAAAAAAAAACCATACCGGGAGGAAATCGATTGGTACTACAATAACAAGGCGCGTTGAGTGGCTTGAACTCTATAAGAATTTAACTTTTATTTGGAGACTTGGAAAAACACCGTAAAGTCGTTTGAAACAGTGGGAGTCTGGCCAGGGTAAAAATGGTTTTCCTCTGATAATCCGGA